CCCCCAAAACCCCAAAACCCCAAAACCCCATTTCTATAACCCGACCTGAAAGATAAATTCATTTATTTAGTAATGAACACGCTGGTGTTATCTATTACTTGCCTCCATGTCTTGATTTTGGGAAGGACTCTTCTACTAGAATTTGGATTTTGAGGAATGTAACTAGTGACAGAAAGATTTCCATAAGCCAGAGGAGATCCTGGACTCTGAGGAGTTGCAAGGTGGGGTTGTGTATTGTCAGGAGAGTTTTCAGCGTGAGGTAACAAAGCATCAGTGTTGTTTACAATACGTGATTTATCCTCAAAATTCTGCGTGTTAAATAGATAGCTTTGCATATTAGAGGCCTTCACATTGCTCTGAAGTAGGTTCGAAGGGGATTTAAAGGTATCAAGCAGTAGATTCAGCGCAGTTTTAGTCATGTTTAAGCTAGATTTCGTATTTCTAGAGAAAGGCTTCCGAGACCTTTGAGATTTTGGAGGAGAAAAAGGACCCAAAGGAAGCTGTGACTCTGATTGTACTTTAGGGAGTCCTGGATTCTCAGGTTCAGACACTCCCTCTACTGTTGAATCTGGTCTAGGCTCTGGTTTTTCCACCTCAGATTTCTCAGAGAGGTCTTTACTAAATGGGAAATTCTTAGCCTTCGAATTATTTTCTTCTTCTAAACGTTTCAAATACTGACCTCTGGAGAGCTGATAGCGAGTTACAATTCGTTTATTTAGGAACTTTTTGTTTTTGATCCATCATTTCAAGAATTTGGGCCACTTCAGGTGTAAACTTTGAAGACTGCTTCACAGGCTTTTTATTTTTCATTTTTCATTTTTATTTTACTAAGTCTTTTAGTCTGAGGAACTTTGCCCTGATTTTTCGGTACCTGAATCGGCCTGGTGCCATTTTTAAAGCTATGGGGTTAAGTTTAAACAGTACTTTGTTGTGCTAGACCTTTTGACGAATTTACTTTGGGTGATACTATTCGGCCTCTTATTTCCAACGACACTCATAGCATCTTTCTTGAAATAAGGTGTTTGCGCCTTGCTGGATTCATTAGGTTCTTCTTGGATTAAAGTTTCAGAACGCATTAGCTTAGCTTTGTCTACATTTTTAAGAAATCTCTTACTTCTGGCTGTCATTGGCTCTTTTGTTTCAAGCAAATCTGAAGCATCAAAGACTTTTTCAAAGTTTGGGACTCTGATGGAGAGCCTGCTCTGGAACTTTGCTGGATTTTTAAGAAGAGCTTTCATTTTACCTCCAACCTTGGCTTTAAAAATGTTAGTGTTTCTCTTGCATGCAGTTTTACCCTCAAGGGTTTCTGATTCTATGGTTTCAAGCTCTTTTGATTCTATTTCGTCTTCTCGCTCTTCACTATCTTCTTCAATAGGGCTGATTTCTAAGTTATTTGAGCTTTCAAGGTTTTCATAGTCACAGTCATATTGGTCATCTGTTTCGGTCACGTCTACTTCAATTTCATGGTAAGGGTTTTGTTCATATTTATCCCCTTTAAGAGGATTTTCTCACTCCTTGAGCTCGACTCCTGGCTTGACTTGTTCAAGATTGTTGGTGGGAAGCTCATACATCATGCTGTTGTTCCGAACAGCAAATACAGGTGAGCCAAATCTTCGCTGCTGCTGGCTCATTAAATCTCTGCTGTAGATATCCTCGACGTTATAAAGGTCTTCCTTTACTTCGTCACCAGACGAGTCCAGTTCATTGATGTTCCTATAGTCTTTGCCATTTTGTTTAGCTTTCTCCATTCTAATTTTTTCTTTGTGAAGTTTATTTTGGACCTCAGCGAATTCTCTCTCAGCTGTTTCCATTGATTCGTTTATTTTTATCAGGTTATTTTCGATCTAAGAATGATAACAAGAAGCTTACTAGGATCATTAAGGCGTTTGAGATACTCCTCACGATCAATATGGCTTGTACGTAACCTTTTCGCATGATGAACTTTGATCAAAGCATGCTCAGTGTCTTCAACAGGAAGTTTTTCCACATCAACTTTCTTCTTTTTCATGACTCGTCCTTTAGAGTCAATAGCTAGGTTAGTGAGAATCTTTGTCTTGTGCTTGGCTCCTCTACGGATTTGAGGATGATCATTCTCCATGGCTCGCCTGAAGTTATCCTCAATTTTGGCCTTATTTGATCAGATATTTCCTCCATTTGTTGTCATCATCTTCTATTTCTTCGTCAATATTGGTTTTGAGAGGGTGCTGCTTGTATATTGAAGAATCAGGAATTGTATTTTCCTTCCTCTTTAATCTTTTTGAAGACTTGCTCTTGAGAGATCTCGAAGAGCCATCTGAAAAAGGCTTAAGGTTTGATTTCAAACTATCTTTCTTAGTAACTATTGTCTTCTTAATCACTACTGGGCCTTTGACAACATCCACAGTCTCTTTAGACCAGAGGTCAAGAGTACTTCCTATAGGTTCACTAGGCTCTTCATCTTCCTTATCCACAGGCTGAGACTCAAAATCATATGCTGAAATCTGGTACTTACTAAGCTCAAGACAAGTCTCAATGCATGAATTAGCTCAGCTTCCTGGAAGGGTTTTGCTGATCTTCTGGTCAAGCATATACCCCTTAACTTTTGTATCAATAATAACATCCTGTATCATATAATCCACAATAGAGAAGCTCTCCGAGGTCTGATTGACCCAATAGACACACCGTTCCCTCACCTTGGCTTCAATTTTCTTCCTTCTCTGAGTTTCGAAGCTATCGTCCATTTAAAATTTCTATAAAAATAAATTTATAAGGGGTTTTGGGGTTTTGGGGTTTTGGGGTTTTGGGG